ACCCAGGCTGGAGTGCAATGGCACAATCTCCGCTCACTACAACCTCCGCCTCCCGGGTTCTAGCGATTCTCCTGCTTCAGCCTCCTAAGTAACTGGCATTACAGATGTCTGCCACCACACCTGGCTAATGTTTTTGTATTTTTAATAGATGTGGGGTTTCATCATGTTCGCCAGGCTGATCTCAAACTCCCAACCTCAGGTGATCTACCTGCCTCGGCTTCCCAAAGTGCTGGGATTACAGGCGTGAGCCACAGTGCCTGGCATCATATATAAAATTTAACCCTGGCCAGGCATGGTGGTTCACGCCTGTAATCCCAGCACTTGGGAGGCCGAGGCAGGCGGATCACAAGGTCAGGAGTTTGAGACCAGCCTGGCCAACATGGTGAAACCCCGTCTCTGCTGAAAATACAAAAAACTTAGCCAGGCGTGGGCACCTGTGATCCCAGCTTCTTGGGAGGCTGAGGCAAGAGAATTTCTTGAACTCAGGAGGTGGAGGTTGCAGTGAGCTGAGATCATGCCACTGTACTCCAGCCTGGGGGACGGAGCAAGAATGTTTTGAAAAAAAAATTAACCCCAAATGGGTTAAATACATATAAATACATATGTACATATAAAAACTAAAAGTACAAAACTTCTGTTCTTCAAAAGATCCTGTTCAGAAAATGAAAAGGCAAATCACAGATCATAAAAAAATTTGCAAAATGCATTATCTGATAAAGGACTGGTTTCTAGAAGACATAAAGAACTCTCACAACCCGATACAAACAGCCCACTTTGTTTTGCCGCTTGTGTGACCGCTGGTGAGTCACAGACCCTCTCTGAGCCTCAGTTTCTTCATCCGTACGGGATCTAGTCACCACTGTCGTGGCGCGTCATTCTCCCACGCAAACCCTTTCTGCAGAGCAGCTCCGTATGTTGTCTGCAGGTTGGCGCCGGTGCGAGATAAAACACGGAAACGGTGTGTGTGATGGAAGTGTTCATGGCAATTTGACAGTGCTGCAGTGTTCAGGCACGTGATTTGATTTCACATCTTACAAAAGCGTGGGTCACAATGCAGTGGAAATTAAAAAAACACAACCTGACCCTTCTCTTCCCACATCCCCAGATTTTCCGTGTTCCAGCCACACTCCAGGGTTTTCCCCATTCCTCAAACGCCTGAACACCTGCCTGCCTTAGAACATCAGCGTCTGTGGGTCCCTCTGCCTGGAATGTTCCTGCCAACCTGCAGAGAGCCGGCCACCTTGTCAGTCGGGTCTAGGGCTGATGCCGCCCTCTCAGTGAGGCCTCCCTGCGTGGCTGAAGCTCTGTGCTGACTGCAGAGGCTTCGCCCACCGGCTGGGGTTGTCTGTGGCCCGTGGGCCTCCTGCGTTGTGCACTCTGTGGGTCTCCTGTTCACTGTTGTCTCTGCTTCCTAGAACTGTACCTCATGCAATATTGGCTAAATAACTGCAAGAGAAAGGCAACTGCCACCACGCCTTGCTAGGTTTTTTGTATTTTTTTGCATTTTTAGTAGAGACGGGGTTTCGCCATGTTGGCCAGGCTGGTCTCAAACTCCCGACCTGGAAGGTTGCCGTGAGGTTTGATACGATGACGGACACTTCGTGCCTGTGCAGTAGGTCTGCTGAAAACGTTAGCCTCAGGCTCCTACCCCCGATCTAGCCTGCACAAGCAATTTACAGTCGAGTGGTGCAGATGTGAAGTGAGTTACAGAGATGTATAGCTCCGATTGTGACACTGCCAGGAAGGACAGAGTGGGAAGGCTCAGGGAAGGCTGAGAGGATGACAGCTTTAGAAGGATAGGTGCTCTGGGCTAGGAGAAGGGCCCTGTGTGCACATGTGTGTGTGTGTGCACGTGTTCTTGTGTGTGCATGCAGATGTGTCTGCTGTGTGCATGTGTGCACACAGGCGTCCGTGAAGGAATGATCCAGTCAGAGGAAACGGCATGTGTGAGGCTCTGAGCAGGAAAAAGCATAACGGTCAAGCAGTGAGAAGAGGTTGTTTTGGGTGGGTGAGGTAAGCGAGGTGGCCACAGAGCAAGGTGATGCTGGGACCGCCACGGGGCTGGAGCCAGCCTGCTTTGCAGACCCAGCCTTGTTCTCATGTCCTTTGTGCTGGCTGGTTGCAGAGGGTCATGTGGTGTCTGCCTTTGTGAAGTAGGACTCCTGAAGCGACTTGCAACTGGAAGAAAGCCAGCCCAAGGCACCCATGTCCCATCCCCTCGTCATACACAGGGGAAAACGGAGTCCCTGAGAGGGCACGGACCTGCCCGGGTTCTGCCCCAGGGTGGCAGCCGATGCACTGAGCTCCCTTCGCAGACAGGGCCACTCAGTGTGAGTTTCTGTTTATGCAGGAACCAGAGGAGCTTTGGGAAAAAGTGCCTCCAGCCCTGCCCCTCCTCTGCTGGGAGTCTGCTGCTGGTTAACATCCGTAGTTGTAACAGGGTCTATGAGTTAAGGCGTTGGTTGCCAATGTCAGAAATCACCCAGGGTGTTGGAATCTGGGTGGCTGTAGAGACAGCCTGGAGCTGGGCAGGGCTCAGTCAGGGTGCCTGGGCCCCACGGGCCAGAGCAGGTGCCGTGCTTAGGCGGCGCTGCACTGGGGTGGTGAGAGCAGTCGGGACCTGCTACCCTGCAGGAAAAAGTCAGTTTCCCCAGGGAATCGAGGAAAGGGGAAAGGATGCCGACAGCCCACCGGCGGCAAGAGGGTGCTGGTGGATGGCCAGGCCCCGTCTGCTCCCGCCCCTGGGGAGCGCCAGCACCCCGCTTGCTGTCCCTCAGCCCAGACACGCCCTGCCCCATTTTCGTTAGCACCTGGAACGAGCTTTGTGCTAGGGGTGCCCCTGGGGTCAGCTTGCCTGTCCTGAAGACAACCTTCCTTGGGCAGCCTGTGGCTTCTTTGTGGGCCTGTGGGTGTTATGTAACTCACTGTTTAAGAGGGCCTTGACAACTGTCACCTGCTGTAGGCTCCCTGAGGGCAGGAACTGCTTTTTGTCTTGGTTTTCTTTGTTCAGTGCCTAACAGAGTGCACTACCCTAATGCAGGTGCGGCAGGAGGTGGCAGTGGCCCAGTGGGCGGCGGGGGTGGCAGACATGGCTGCCCTCTGCTCCCTGCACCTGGGTGGTGCTGCGCAGTGTTCGCTGGTGTGTTAGGAGCAGGCCTGGGTTTGCTGTGACTGCTGCTTTCCAGCTACTGGGGTGTGGACCAGCCACGCGCACTCCCTGAGTGCCGGCGTCCTGGGCTGGAGGGCTGGACTCTTCCCAGCACTGACTGCCTCGACGTCAGGCCCCGTCCCTCCATGCCCCTGTTAGCTGAGGTCTAGGCTGGCCCCTGCCCTGGCTCTTGATCGACTCCCAGTTCTGATGTCACTTTCTTCTCACCACCCGCCCTGCCTGCTGGCGTCCAGTATGCCTGGGTAGAGAAGCACCTCGGCCCTGACTTTCTGGAGCAGATTGTGCTGACCAGAGACAAGACCGTGGTCTCTGCTGACCTTCTCATAGACGACCGGCCGGACATCACAGGCAAGTGGCCTGCGGCAGGTGAGGAGCACGTGGGGAGGGCCCGCGCCTTGGCCCCCTTCTCCGGGGCAGTGAGCGCTCAGTTGCCTCCTGCCTCTACCAGCCCCCCTTAGTTACCAGCTGTTTGCCAGGCACTGAGCTCCTCCCCTCCGTGTGGGCTGTGGCCTGGTGCTCCTGGGAGCTGGGAGGAGTGGGTGCTGGCCTCAGGGTTAGCTTGAGGGGTGGCCTTGGGTGAGTCCCTTCAGCTCCAAAGCCTTTACTTCCTCATGTAACACGGGGACTCAATTCTGGTTTCCAAAGGTTTGTTTTTAGCAACAAAACCCTTTTTTCTCCCAAAAGCCATGTGGACTAATGTAATGAATGACAGGAGGGCGGAGCAGAGCTCCTGCGGGGAAGGCGGCTTGGGACAGAAGACCCTCCTCCCAAAAATCAAACAAGCCAGTCAGTGTCGAACTGAACTGCGTAGAAAGGAGAGGGAGACCGGTGGCGCGGTGACTCACGCCTGTAGTCCCAGCACTTTGGGAGGCTGATGCAGGTGGATGGCTTGAGCCCAGGAGTTTGAAACCACCCTGGCCAACATAGCGAGACCCTGTCTCTACTAAAGATACAACAATTATCTGGGCGGGATGGTTCATGCCTGTAGTCCCAGCCACTCCAGGGGCTGAAGTGGGAGGATTGTTTGAGCCCATGAGTTGGAGACCAGCCTTGGCAACTGGTGAGACTCCTGTCCCTACAAAAAAAAACAAAAAAATTAGCCAGTCTTGGTGGCGCATGCCTGTGGTCCCTGCTAGTCTGGTGGCTGAGGTGAGAGAATCACCTGAGCCGGGGAGGTAGAGGCTGCAGCAAGCTGTGATTGCACCACTGCACCCCAGTCTGGGCGACGGAGTAAGACCCTGTCTCAAAAAAAACAAAACAAAACAGGAGAGGGGAAGCTTATTGGTTTAGCTAACTGAAAACGGGTAAGGAAAGCTTCGGCCATGGAATCTTTTCTCTGCTTCACGGCTCTGTCCTGGCCTGGCTCTCCAGCATCCCTGGACAGCCGTCTCCTCCTGGAAGCCGTCCGGTCTTTTGGACACCCCAGTGGGAAAATACCTTCTAGTTTTTCCCTGATGGTTTTGGAACTGGCTTGGGAAACATGCCACCTCCGTCACTTCGTCCAGAGGGTGGACCCCACGAGTGCACCCGCCCCACCCTCCCCAGCCTCGTGGGCTCCCAGGAGAGCCGGGGCAGACAGTGGCCTGTGGGGGCCCATGACCTTGAGGGCCCAGAGGCCGGCTTGGCCTCCATCTCCAGCCACAGGGAGCTGGGGCAGGTGCATATTCCAAAGGGGTGGCGTCCCACTGGCATCACCAGTGTGGACATGAGGGCTTGGAGCCTGGGGAGGCTGCAGGGCCTGTGGTCAGCGGCTGGGGAGCTGCAGAGCTGCTGCCACTTGGCCTTCCCACAGCAGGCCAGCAGGATGGCGGGGCATGGAGAGGGAAGTCGGGGGAGCACCGGGTGGCATGAACCAGCACATGTCCCTCAGCAGTGCTGGTGGTGATGGCAGCCCGCAGTCAGTCCCTGTCCACCGAGCACTGGCTGCACATGCTGAGGGCCCCCTTGCCACATCTCACACCATCCTCACACCCGCTGTGAGGCAGGGGCGCGTGCACTTACCACTCCACAGAGGAAACAAGTTTTGGCAAGGCCAGAGGCCTGCCTGGATACCCAGGTTTCTGCCCTCGGCAGCTGCGTCCCAGGTCTCCGCGGCTGAGCTGATGCCACTTTCCCACCCACAGGGGCTGAGCCAACCCCCAGCTGGGAGCACATCCTCTTCACTGCCTGTCACAACCGGCACCTGCAGCTGCAGCCCCCCCGCCGCAGGCTGCACTCGTGGGCAGACGATTGGAAGGCCATTCTGGACAGCAAGCGGCCCCGCTGAGCTGAGCTGGACTGTGCTTCGTGGGGCTCCCAGCTGGGGGCCTGTGGGGTCCATGTGCTGGCCTGGGGGTCCCTCCCAGACTCCCGGGGCCCATGACCTCCTGCTGCATGTCCTTTCCCTTCCCCAGCCCTGCCAGGCCTTAACCTGATCTCAGGGCAGGGCTGGGCCCTCCAGGCCCTTGGACACAGACACGTGGTCCCAGGCCATTCAGCCTGACCTCAGGCAGCAGGCTGCAAGCTGCCAGAAGCCGGGGGGCTCAGGACAGGGAGGAGGTGGGGCCACTGTTTGGGGGCTGGTGGCCCTCTCCACTCCCTAGCAAGTTCTCTGAGGCGGTGGGGGGGTTCCCTTTTCCTGGGTCTGCAGCCATCAGCAAGGAGGGCCAGGAACCTGGCGACCAAGGTGCTTCCAGGTGGGGATGAGCCCCTCATGGTCTCAGCCACGGCACCCCTTATTCCAGCGGCCCTGCCACAGCACCCCTTATTCCAGCGGCCCTGCCCCGCCTGCTCACCCCACACGACCTGCCGTGTATTCAGCAAACACTCATTAGGTGACAGCGGCCACCAGGCTCTGTGCTGGGGGACAACGATACCGGCCCTGGCCTCAACCAGCTCAGAGGTTTCTCGCACCTCTGTCCCCAGGGCCCCACTCAGGGCCCAGCAGAGAGTCCGTCGGCTTGAACGTGTGTTGAGTGCATGAAAAATAAATGCTGTTCACGTGTGTAGCTCAAGGCTGTGGTCTGCCCCCAGGTCCTCTGGCGTCTGCCCTCCTGGCTTGACCCAGGTTCAAGTCTTGTGTCTGGGGAATTCCACTGCACTGAAGACAGGTGGAGGAAGGCATGACTTCAGCCCCTGCCTCACAGGCTGGGCCCTAGTGGGGGACCCTCTGGTGGGTGAGGCTTCGGAGATGGGCCCCGTGCCTCTTTCCCGCACCTGCCCCAGTGCCCAGAGCTGGGTCCCCCATCCTCTGCTCTTCTCCCAAGGCCAAGTTTCTGTGGGATTGCAGGAGTCCTGGGGAGAAGGCTGGTGTCAGAGCCTCAGCTTCTGTTCCTTTTCACCCACTGGGGAGTGACAGCTCGAACCAGGCACCTCCCCGCTGCCCTTTGGAGAGGTTTTGGGGCCGCTTTCTGTCCCTATGCCCTTCCCTTACTGTTTTGGCCACACTCCTATCATGGCCCTTGAAGGGAACAGGGGTTTCTCACACCCCTAACCCACCCCAGCTCTGGGCCTTACTGGCAGGCCCTTCTGCCTTAACGTGGCAGAGATGCTTTGGGCTGCCCTGGAGGCAGGGCCAGATAGGAGAGAAGACAAGGGGAGGTGCCCACGGCTCAAAGCTGGCTGAGCTTTTGGATGTTCCTGTCCTTACAGTCTCAGGAGCTTGGGCTCCGTCACCCACCTTAGTGAGGAAGGACTCCTCCAAGCACCATCACCCAGCTTAGGGAGGGAGGACTCCTCCAGGCGCCATCACCCAGCTTAGGGAGGGAGGACTCCTCCAGGCTCCATCACCCCAGCTTACGGAGGGAGGACTCCTCCAGGCGCCATCACCCAGCTTAGGGAGGGAGAGGGAGGGAGGACTCCTCCAGGCTCCATCACCCAGTTTAGGGAGGCAGGACTCCT